TCAACATGAGTGAGTTTGCATGTGGGTTTGCCTGTTTTGTTGAAGTCGATAAACTACTAGTATCAAGAACAAACAAGATCTGTTTATCGGAAATGAGGAAGTTGCTTGTTGGGACATGCACAGACTTGTCCCACAGCATGTGACAGCATGCTGTGCTGCTGAAGGCTTTACTTCATGCCATCACCTCTGCTTATTTGTTGTGTGCAAACCACATGGTCACTATAAGAGCTTACTTTGTCAGATTCTAATCATGGCTAACACTGTGCTAAATTGTACTTTTAAAATGCATCTACGGACTGTCAGGTTCTAAGTTTAGCCTTTACAAGAAATGCTTTTGCTTTTGGATGCAGCTCGTCTTATATTGCTTTATGCGCGCTCAATAATCCAGGAAAAAAGTTTATGTAGTTCATGTAGATTCAGTGTTTTCAGCACAATAAGTGTTTCATCACTGATCCAAACAACTTTTTTTTTTTTGTTTGTTTTTGTTTTCCCAGCCACATGAACAATTCCGTTGCATTATGGCCGACATTAGCACCATTACCTAATAATGGGCCATAAGATCGGTGCCATGACTGAAGAAATTAAAATTACTCTTTACTGCTTTATTTATTTTTTTTGTTTTTCTTTGGCCGCTTATGAGTTTGGGTTGCAGGGTCAGTCTAAGCAATAATGTCCAGACCTGTCTCCGTCTGGCCACCTCATCCATCTCTATCCATCGGACATTTCTGAGCTAATAAACAGATGGAATCTCTTCAGTTGTTCCTGGCTGTACCCTGGAACCTCCTTCCAGTTGGAAATGCTTTAAATGCCTCATCTAGGAGGCGTCCAGGCAACATCCTAGTCAGATTCCTGAACCGTCTCAACTGGTTCCTCTTGATGGGTTCGGAGCAATGTTCCCTCTAATTTTTCACGTGTCTGAGCGAACACACAAACTCCCTGAGCGGTCCCTTGGACCACTCTGAGCGACATCAGACGTGTGCACTGTGGTCGCACCGGCATCTAATCCATCCAAGTTACATGGTTTATTAAAATAATCAAATTACAGCATTTACATTTATGTTAGACTTCTTTTAATTAACTGCTTTAGCCCCCTTACAATGAAAATGTAAAAAATTCTAGTCATTCACCTGTGCAGTATGTTAACACTATTGGAAGTACAAATAACTAACTCCAATTTCGAAAACACAATTAATTATATAGTTACTACTTCAAAAAGGTTACTCAGTTTGGCAAACAAAG